GAACATACAAAAGTAAAGTGCTTATATTCAAATGTATCTACTCAATGTCCTACAACATTATGATGGATATTTAAATGTACCCTATTAATTTTGTCTGAACAAGTTAGTACAACGTTGTTATTGACAAATGGCCATCTCAGATGTTGTAGAAGTTCTGTCTTTATCATATCGAATAATTATCTTGTTCGTATTGTATTGGTTTGTTAAAAATGAGTTACATTTTATTTGTTCAAGTAATTAATAGTCTGTGAAACATTGATGTGGTATATTTATACGCTGGCTGATGACTGTTTGCTCTTCGTTTCACTACTGAACCATGACAATCATTTTACTTCAGTGAATCCTGGAACTCAGGTTGGACATCATTAAGTGACACTATTCCTACCAGTGAGAATGAATATTTAGAGTTCTACTTTAAAATTTGTGAATTTCTATTCTACCTAATAGGCCATTTAGAACTAAAATAACTTCTAATTATTGGGTGCCTCAGTTAAATCATGTTGACCATGAAAAAATGATCATCTCTCGTTTTTACATCACATCTGCTTGACTAGCCAGCACTAAATATTGGCGTTTAACGTTCTTACCCGATCATCTTCTTAAACAATTTATTGTATAATATGTAAAGTGGTCGGAGCCAGACAAGAACGAATAATTAAGTGTAAAGCTTAAAGTTATCGTCGTGCAAGTTGAATTCATTTTGATCCGCATATCATGTGGATTATGTTGTGAAGCATATTCATAAACGAAATAAGAGTATAATTAGTGTTGTGTCTTTATGGCCCGCTAGTTATCACGCAATCTATTCGCCAATCAAAACACGACTTATTCGCTCCTATACTGTACTAAACCAATGACGTTCGACCGGTATGGTCAGCCTAGCGTCCTATTGGCCCGTTGCTCGCCTGCCCCGTCCAGCGGTTGACATTAAATGGACGGTAATTATGGTTCCCTACCACCCATTTATTAGAAATTGAGTTTTCATTATCCCCATGGCAACTTTTTTTACCCCACCCCCACCCTTTAAAAAAAAATTTTTCAACCCCAAAATTACAATATTTTTCATCCCGTTTCGTCCAATGAAATGGCTAGTTTTAAAGTTCGTTTTAATTGGTTAGTTATGTCTTGTCAAATTGTTATAAAATATCAGTACTTGTCGACGAAGTACATTTTAATCGTCATTATGGAGGAGAGTAACTTGCGAAGTATGAGCGCTGGTGTTTATGACGTCACGGAAAGGGAGGAAGTCTTTTTGACAACATTGTTTTTCGTTGCGTTCCCATCAGTTGAAGCGTTAAAGGTCGCTTTCTCAATTTTCGAAAGATCGACTTACAGTCATTATGTAGTGAGAGATTCGCATACGGGCAAAGATCAGAATTCGTATATTAAACTTGTGTGTTAGGGAGATGGGCGTATAAGGTCTAGCGGTTCCTCACAGAGGATTAGACGGAGGAGGTAATTTGGTTAATATAACTATAATTTTTTTCACGAAGGGCTTCCATGAACACGCAATGTCCGGCCTTCATGTTTTGTAAGATTATAGATGAGTACTGGACTGTTGTACGTGGGAATGTGCATCACAATCACGAGTGCAATTCCCTGAGGTACCAAACTAATTCATGGATGCGCAGGTTAACGGATGCTGAGTTTGAAACTGTGCGGCCACTGCTCATATCTGGTACGGCTTCCTTCCACATTAAGAATATCGCTTATCATTCTTATGGGAAACTACTGAATGATCAAGATATCTATAATATGCGGTACAAAGTGTTTTCACAGGCGAACCTTCCTGGTAAGCCATTTGCCAATTTATAATTTACACAATAGGCGATTACGGGAAATTGAAAGCTCACATAACATACTTGGATGGGCTTTGCGAATACGAATGGGACGATGAGAACTGTCTATCGTATTTCTTCTTCATGACTGCTGAGCAATTGAATTTGGCCGGTCACTTTTGTGACGTTATTGGTTCCATTAATGTCTAACGAATTTAATTATGCCTTATAGATTAATCATTGAAAAGCCATTGTTGCTCATTTATTAGTAAACTGGTTTCCAACGTTCATAGAGGTTAAGATAAATTAGACAAGTTTTCGTTATCTAATGAATACTAATGCAAGAGTATGCTTATAGAGTGTAAATTTACAGATATTTGGATGAATCGACGATTAAATTACATTGAGAGTGTGAATGTTTCAGGTCGATGAGTGTAAACAAGTGAATAATAATGATATATATATGTATATATACATATACCAGAACAGGTCAGAGGTTACCCTCTAAACGAAATGTTTATTCACAGATTTCAAACATCTGATACTCCTAGATCATATCAATTTCAGAATTCATTTAATTATTATTACGTAACCGATCTTATCATTATTAAATTCTATTAATCTCTAAAATTATCACATAATTTAGGAATTACTTCCATTTGACCTCCGACCTCGTAGAATCACATTGTAGCACTTAACAATTATCATAAAATATTCGAAAATGAAAATTACTTTAGCGAACAATAGTTTTAAAATAACTTCATCATCATACTAAACAGTTACAAGTCCGTAATTTCACATTTGCATCTGTTACGATATATATATATATATATATATATATATATATATATACGAATTTTAATATTTGCAATTTCAAAAGGTCATTAAATAAAGGTCTAGATGATTTGCGGTAAAGAGTTCAGTCACAATAAGTGGAATAGTATTATAGCAAAATTTAAAATGCAAAAATAATAATAACCATTATAAAGGTTCATTGATGCAGTAGACCTTGTTCATATTTATACGTTTAATGTCGATAGATATTTGTTGAGTCAATCAGACGACGTAGGCTTGTTCATTTACACTTCATGAAACTAATACTTCAAATGCTTGTCAAAAAATGGTTACATTCATAATGTATAGATATTTCAGGTTTCGTATTACGGTTAACAACATTCAAACATGATCGATTATACGCACTACTTTTTATTATGACAAACAAGTTAATTTTAAAATGCAGATTTACAAATAATTTACAAGTGAAAACCGTAATTCATTTCTATGGATTTTAAAATTAACCCTATAGAAATCTAAAGTTTTCTAATTCTTATTAAGAATGACTATTAAAAAATGAACCTTCACTAAATATTAAGTGAATATTTAGGAAAAATTATTACTTCATCAAATGATGGTCTACGGTTGGTTCACCTAAATTATACATACTGCAATCAGTAATTTATCATGATGATTTATTGGTGTGTTGATTTCTTTTTCCCATTAACAGACCATGTGTTACTAAAAAACTTATGCACACACTTCGGTGATGAATCCTATGTATCTTGCTCCCTTGATAGTGATGAACTAAATGCTTCAGATGTGACATGTTCTCGTAATATTTCTGAATCAAATAATTCCAATGTTATGTGTTCTCATGATGATGTCAAATCGAACACCTCCGATTTATTATGTTCTCATAAAATTTCCAAGTCAAATTCCTCCGATATAACATGTCTTCATAATGATCCCAAATCGAATGCCTCAGACAAAGTATGCTCTGGTAAGACTTCAGAATCTTATGTATTTCGTTCTAATGTTATGTCCACACTGAAGTCTTCTCTTTCCTCTCAAATGTCGTCCGTATCTCACATAAATCATCTTCGACAAGAGCATGCAGGTGCATTTCAAAACAAACTATGCTGTTTTTATCAAAATGATCACGCTTCACAAGGATCACAACGTCAAGCAGTTTCACCTACCTATGCACTCAGTTGAATGGCATTTATAAAAATCTTTTTCTTTTGTTTGTCGAGGGGGAAGATGATGTGAACAGGGAAACAAGAAGCCCTGACAAACTATGAAAACTATTTTCCAGGACGTTATTTCATTTTATTCAAAGCTTGTAAAACACTGACAATTATTTTTTTCCTATTTTATTCTACAGAACATGAGCTTTCATTCTATGTGTCATTCATTGCCATACCCCTTTTTGTTCCGAAGGTATTGTAATTTAAACATAATACTTTGCACCTTATTTTCTGTTCTAATTCTCAGCTTTGGACATAATTGTATTTTCCCAAATTATTGTACGTTGTGGTCTGGTAAATCATCTAATTATTCATGGACCTTTTCGCACCGCTCTGAATTCAGAGATTTCACAGGAAATCAGGATATCACAATACAGCCAATAGTGCTCAAGTTGTCTTGTCTTACCTTATTTGCGTGCTTGCCAGCCAATCAGGTGCTAAAATAGTTCTCTTCTCTCTACCACACCTCAAAATCACGCGTACTAGCCTCAAGGTCAAGCCGGTCAGCCTGTTGCGTCAAGATCTTAATCTAGAGTAGACAGATCAAGGTCATAAAACCATTCCTCACTAAAAGTCACTGGATTTGAGTAAAGTACCCTGGCTACTGAACAGATTGATATGTAGTAACGAAATATCTGAGACAACATATCCAGTTGACTTCCTTTTACTTTATCAATCTGTGTGAGGAAGCATTTAGCCTAGAGAAAGGTCTTGAATCTTATTCTTATGTTTTATTTCCTGAAATACTAGTATGCAAATTCTACTGACTATATTCAAGTTGCATCAGATGACTCAAGTATGTGTTGAAAATCTAATTTATCATTCACTAAAATAAGGGTCATAGTTCGATGGTGACCAGCTATGGTATAATTATCAAATAAATTAACAAACTTCTTGAACCTAAACTTCGAGATATTACTGAAGCTGTAATTTACAAAAATCCTGTTCTTACACTAGAAAATAGTTAAATAACAACCAACAGTCTGCTAAATTCCTACTTAAGCCACTCTTCATTAGGTCAGAATATAATGCAAATGTGATTAATATGTACTTTATTTAAAACGGTTAATTGTAGGATAAGTAATATAATAGAAAATTAACTAAATGTTCTATTATTGCACACAACATAAAATGAACACATTGAAAAGGCACAAATATTTGAACAAAGTTTGTATTCCAACTGAAAGTGATTGATCGGTTAAAAAGGCTTGATGTTTGGACAGGTGTTAGTCCAGTCTGCCAGTAGAAGTTCATTTGCATAAATTGCGTTGATGCATACTATAGGAGATGTATGTAAAAACAAACAAGATCAAACGGTGATCAATCAGCTGATAAACTCACTTCTCAAACTTCAAACCAAGTATCACTTTTGATAGACATATTTCGAATGTTAATAACAGAACTATAACTAAGCTACGATGTGTTCGCGAATGCGTGTTGTATCCACGGTATAACCAAACACGCATGTCATAGAAATCTGGCTATCTGCTGTAGTAATTTCTATAATAATCTATCTTATTTAAACAATACTAGATAGTAGAATGCAGTCAAACCAGTATACAATGAGTAAAATCTTACAACTATGCAAACGGTGGGATCAATCAATAGAAGTAAACCAATTCAGATTAAAATTTTGTTGTTTATCTGTGTGCACCTCAATAAAATCATGTGGATGTAGTGTTGACATCTTCATTTGAGCATTAAATTACAAAAATTAATTTATGCATTATTAGGAATTAATAAAGTTACTATTTAACGACAACCGTGTGAAAGACGAATGATGTAGTCATGGAAAAACCGACTATATGAGCAATAAAAATCACACATATTGTTATTGCTATCTACTGCATATCACAAGAGATATGTGTTCGGTTGGAATTGTCATGACTCTGAACCTTGAAGAAATATTGAAAACTCTTAGGTTTTGATGCACACTTTCATGTGGGATGACAGAAAACACGTTTGAGCATCTGGTTACTACTATACATTACTTACCATTCCATTGATTAGCCACTCGCATCTTGCAAAATGACTCAGACGGTGTATTGTCAATTGATCCAGTTGATGAAATCCATGGTATGACACTTGCTGTAATGATTTCAGTCGACGTATTCAAAGTTCTTTGGTACATGAATGAGTTGATTGAAATCCATGTTTTCCCCAAATCCTTACTCATTATTACACCTCCACCATTTGCTCCCAAACCGAACAATATGCCAAGTGGATTTGTGTACGCTATAATCTGTTCAACATATGGTCCGACATCTGAGAATCGAAAAGAAATCAGTCGAAACATATCTAACATTGTTTTGTCAAAATAAGCCTAAACAAAATTTTCGATGAACCTAAATTCTTAGCAACTATGTATTTTATGAATCTGTACAATGGATGTTTCAAAATACTAAACGTTTGTAGTTATGATTTGTTAAAATACTTTATTTGTGCTACATGAACAAAAAATTCTCTTATGACCTTATAAATCAGTTCAAGTAGTCGTGTATAATTAGTAGTAAAATATGAAGAGAATGAATTGTGAATCCTCCTTCCAAGTACAAATTCTGCCATAATTAGCTTGTGATGTCGGTCTTTAATGTAAAACATTTGTTTTCCTTCATTATGATAATGTTTGGTTCTATACATTAAGTCTTGTAAACTGAGTCGGATGTTGAATCGATACATTCATGAATAATCATTTTTGATAATTGTTATTCTATTGTCAACTAACTAAGGTGGATTAGCACATCATGAATGTGGTTATAATAGGGCAATAAGTAGAACCAAACAGTGGTGGTACTGGACACTCTCCTGTTACAAAGTAATAAGCTCTGATTATCAAAAGGTTGATTATTCTGAAGAAATCATCATACTTGTCGATTAATCTAAATCTTAGTTGTGTGGTGTGGACTGCTGAAGTCGACAGATGTAAGTAGTATTTGTCATCAATCGAAATTGAAATGCCTTGTGGTAGAAAGTTGAGATCGAATAAAAGAAAACAAGAATAGAGAATGTTTGGTATGGAAACGAAGAAACAATCAAGTATGAGACGATTGATTGAAATTTGGCAAATGAAGTATTTATTTTGTGATTCTCAGATTTTACTAGGATGTTTTATAATTTTATATTGTAATGCATTTGGTTGTGCCCACTGGTGTTCCCGTTCACTACAGTTGAACAAAATAGGTTTGCATTGTGAATATATTCAGTATTGATTTAAACATATGTTTACTTGTTATTGGGATTTCTGTAGTTTTATAAAATTGAGAAAGTAATTGTTTGTAATTGGAATAAATGGTAAATTTAATAAACATCCAATTAACTTTGAGATTCGGGTGACTAAAAGCTTTCAACAGTGTGTTGTTGAAACGGATGAAAGACTCAGTAGACACGGAACTTTTGGGTCAACAGACTGGATTCCGTAAGGATCGGTCGTGCACAAACCAAATCGCTACACAACAGACCAATGTTGAACGAATCCGAATCCGAAATGAAGAGAATGAATAGGAATTAGATAGTGTTGGGAAGGGTTGTCCAGGACAGAGATGGATGGAGAATGGTGGTGGGTGGCCTATGCTCCTACACTAGGGGTAACAGACGTATGTATGTAGTTTTAAACTTCAAATATCCACTGTTGAATAATAAAACACAACAGATTGTCTATGATTACTTACCAAACCAAATTCTTTCAGGCAATTTACCAATCTTGAAACATCGTCTCACCAAATCTAATGAACCCTTCATACTAAACGCACGTGCACAATAAAACAAAAGATCACCAACATTTAGAAATGTATTTGCTTGACGGTCGGGCAACTGTACCAAAGGGTTCCGCATTGCAACGTAATGAGGTAAGTTGGGAGGATCTGAATGCAAAAGGTTAATGCAAGACAGTGTTGTTAAATAACGCATCACAGAGTCACTGAGAATTATTTTAACTATCCCAAAAATCAATAAAATGATAGAGAATTCTTTCACAGTAATGTGATCTGGCTGTAGATAAGTAACCAATGACAAACATTCCTCATGGTTATGATTGACAAAATTCGAGGTCATTTTAATGGGGGAGTGTAAGAGAACTGCATATAGTTACAGTGCAAACATATTTAGTTGATACCTCTCAACAAGAAGATCAGTGTTTTTCTTTTCATCTTTTGTTTGCGATTGTACATTACTAGCAGTTTTGTATGATCAAATGAAATATCATTATGGAAAGCCTCCAACTAATTGATAAATCTATATGAGGACTAACTCATCTTTCTCTGAAAGCAATTAACAAGCACCTCACATTTTGAGAATGATTGTGATTTCAGTAGCATGAGAAAAATTCAGTAAATTATGATGGGTTGTGAAGTTGTATTTGTATGTGTGAATACTTGATGACAGTATGATAATCGGATGCAATGCAAAGATTGAAATCTTTTTCACAACAGCGGAAATTTTAACAGCATTTTCCATTTAAGGTAACGTATCCGACGTACAGGGTAAACTTATTTCCTATAATACAGTGTTGATTTATAATCATAACATGAATTTGGAAAAATACACACCGATAAAACTCACAAGTGTAGTCAAGTTGAACACGTAGATGAGATTTGAACTTGTAAAACTTTTGTTTTGCACAGCTATTCACTACGGGACTACCACGTTCATAGGGTTTGCACACGATTTCGACTAGAACTGGATATTTCACAATGGTTGTACTACGAGATGGATTAAATTTCAGACTAAAGATGACTTCATACTTTGCACCAAAATATAAACGTCCTGCCTGAAATGAGAAAGAAATATGCTTAAGTGTTGTTTCAGAGCAAGAGTTGATATATGTTTGAAACTCATGTTTCGTTTTGTGATATGAGACGATTCCAAATGATGACTAACGTAGGCAAAGCAAACTAATGTAATTTACCTCCCCTATGCTTGATGAACGGAATTGTACAAACTTTGAAAGTTTCATTGGCACAGTAAATGACAGTGAATGCTGATATTAGATCGATCTCGTGCTCTCGGTTAGGCAAATGAAACAATGTTTCGATGGATTTAAATGAGTTTGAATGTTTGACGAGAAATACTGCAAATATTCCACAGTAGAAACTTAAATTTTGAAGTGACTGCAGTGGTTAAATAGATTTCCCTCGAGTTGGAACTATATACAGCAATTAATGGTAAACAGATATGAAACATGGAAGTGAGGTGTTTTATCTGTCTCCTGTAATACCTTCACAAATACAACGTTTGTTTTAGAAAGGTATTCCAGAGTGATATTTCACTTTCAAAATCGAAAATGTTTGACTATGACACAGAAGCTGGTAGAAGAAATATTATTTTTATGTAGCAATGCGGTTAATCAATGAAATCAAATGATGAAGTGCCCTTAGAATACTTCAGTGATATTGCGCAACAAAGATTACAAACAATTTATGGATAATAAAAACTTCACGATTCAGTTGACTGAACGTTTGACATATTTGGTTAACAGACCGAATGGATGGAAGTTATCATTAATGTATTTAGTGCTCAATAACTATGACGTATACAACATTTTTTGGTACGTTTTAGTTCTTTTATTGAGTGGAGTGCTATGTAGGGAATGTAATTTTGATCGTAAATTTTATTTCAGGCATTAGATTTCAACGAGTTTGTGTTTTCCATCCGGTATGTCGTAATGCGCAACACTAGCATATTCATAGCAGATAGCTGCAGACAACTCCAAACGTCTGAGACAAAAACTAGTGATAGTTTTAATGTTGTATGGAGTACTCACTCACACGGGAATGTGCATGGAAATTGAGCACTTACCGAACATTGAAGACGAAACTGGTAACTAGTTTATTCATTATGTTGATCAAGTACAAAATGATCGCTAAAACGTTGTAATATACCTTATGGAAATAAGTAGTAATTGGTTAGTGAGTTAAGATAGAAATGTTTGATTATAATGAATAGAAGTGATTATATTATGTTATAAAATGATTTCTGCAAGAGACGTCTACTCTGATTTCACTGAGTGTTAACTGATCACATTTTCATTATTAATTCAGTTTGCATTATTTGTTCGAATCTTTCAATTGTTGATTAGAACTGCCACTGATAAGTCTCTTATTGACATGCGTGTATCCTGTGGGGATTGCTTCGATATTGCCTTACGTCACAAGCATTATAAGCAGAGGTGGATGGTGGCTAGCAGTGAAATCCAAGAAGAGTATTTCGTTCTATTTGAGGCTCGTCCTGGATGGCACTGCTAGTCACCATCCAACTTTCTGATATAACGGATTGTTTAAAATATTCTTTTCTCTCTCATGTTTACTACAATATTATAACTAGCCACGCTACATCAGAACCAGGATTCACGACAAAGAATAGGAAACCAGAATAACACTAGATTATACCTCATTCAATACGATTATAAACAGTCACACCCAGTGAATCAGGAGTATGATTCAATAAGTTTGAAAGAACTCACATATAAAAAGGATTCAGCAAAATGAAATTTCTTTTCCACTCAATCATTTACTCAAACTACACATTCGTATTTATAGTTATATGGCAAATATATGTTTATAGAAGGATAGAAAAGATTGCATCGTAAAGTGATTCAAGATTCGAAATATCAAATGCAGTTGTGTATAACATTGTCGACTATTCAGTTACATGCATTATTACTTGATCCTCAATTTTTGTAGTACGTCAACTATCAATAATGAACTCAATATGTAATCACGATGCTTATAACTAGACGACTACCCGCAAAAGAACATAAGTCTCAATTTTTTCATTCTCTTAAAAAATCAGGATTTAGTGCAGTGTCACCCGGATAAGGTTGCAGGATCTGTCCTTATGGATGTTCAACACTATGTCACTAAATTATCCTTGATAGTATCTGATGCTGTCAAATTCTCTAAGATGCGATTGAGAATACGGAACAGATGGTAACCAAAATCATGAGGCAGATGGAAGATGACTTTAATATTAATTGTGACCTCTATGAACGTCTTAGACCATCATGTTCCACTATACTAGGAATATATGAACTCCCAAAAGTTCAGAAGAAGAACATCTCCCTATGTTCTATACTTGATATGAATAACTCTCTAGATCATTTGTTTGCTAAATGGTTTACTGAAATTCTACAACCTGTGAGAAATCACATCAATAGATACAACGCTCATGATTCGTTTGATTTTGTCTATTCAGAAATATCATTGTAAATGATCTTATTGTATGGCACTTCTCTCTTTACAAATGTTCCACTCACAGAAACCATGTGATTTTTATGTGACGATATTGAAATAACAACATTGATATTAGTACCCTAAAACATTATCTAGAAGAGCTATCTTTACGATGTATCCTCAATGTGCGATTCAGGTTTAGTAATCATTTCTATGGATAAACCGATGAAATTGGAATGGGTTCATCACTAGCTTCCTGCACTCTTGGCTGATTGTTTCATGGATAATCTGGAAAATACAGTACTTCGACCGATAATTGAGAGCTTTCATTTATCTAAGAGATGTATGGATGATAGTTCATGGTATTAGTGACTGAGAATCGGTCTCATTTTGCTGCAGACACAGTCACTACCTGGTTGAATGGTATAGGGTGTAGACATCTGTTCACTGCTTCCAGGCAGGCTTGTTCTAATGGTCAGGCAAAACATTTCGTCAGGACATTGATAACTGCAATTGATTCCATTACTGCTTCCACATTTGATGAACTGGAGAGAGGAGTAGACACAGTTCTACTGCAATATAGAATTGCTAAGCATTCTGTAACGAAAGAGATTCCAACAATGCTAATAAAAAGAAGAATGCTTCGTTCGAATATGAGGCGTTTAAAGTCTCCATGTGTTACATTTTCTCGTGGAAATAATCTTCGACCAGTCATGAAAATTGTGGTGAAGAATGTTGCAAAATCTATGATTGAAATCCTAGATATCAATGATTTACGTTCACACAACCGATATGTTGATCAAATACAATTCCAGGAACCAAGTGAATCTGTTCCAATTCCGGTTTTTAATTCTAATACTAATGAGCACATCCTAGATCATGCAGAATCTACATCCAACATACAGTCGGACAAACACATGATGAACTTGAGCGAAAGTGCAATCGATTACAGAAAATTAGATTCCCATTTAAGCTGTGGTGGTTGTGGTATTTGTACAAACTAATGATTGCTTTGTACTTGATTGCCCGCTGATTATCAATTCCAAATATAACGCGTTCCCTTGTCTCAGCTTGTTCTACTTGAGTTAAATTGCTCTATTTCGGGAGTTCTTAGTTTTGCACATAAATTCGAATACTTCAGATTAGCATATACTTTCATAATTTGTGGAGAAAAAATGGATCTCAATGAAATTTCGTATTGGTTCAATAGATGTCTTCACTCAATTTAATTCATGTTGGAAAAAGAGGCGAATGAGGAATTTCATTTTCTTGATGTCCGGTTGAAAAGAAGTTCAAATGGTTCTTTACAGTGATCTATATTTAAAAACCGACCTGGAATGGTCGGTATACGGATTTCCATAGCTGAATCTTTTTGAGTAGAAAAAGAAAATTGATTCACTCTTTAGCCTCAAGGCCTAGGGGGATGTTCTGATGATGAAGTGGTTGACGAACTACTTCAAGTTTGACAGACACCCATCAGAAATGGTTATCCACCTAGATTATTAGATAGGAACTTAACGACAAGACATCCTAAAAACAGCACCGACAGTTCAAAAGAAGACTTATTCTGAATATTGAGTTTAAAGGAGATAAGGCTGCCGAAATCTTTAAAATACGTATTTCAAAATCCCTGGATAAAACCTATTCAACTACCATTCATAGATATTATAGGGATAAACGTCCGCTTTTGCTTATGATAATGTGCATCTATAAATGTACTTGTTCCTGTGGAGCAGGTTATATTGGCTTGTAAAGGGAGGATGCAAAACAGTTACCATTCCGATACAGGAACACTTAATAATCAAAGGAAGTGGATCGAAGGAAGGCCGAATCAAAAACATATGCACTGTTGAGGCGTTGGCAATCGACAAATCCGAGTTTGAACTCTGTAGTATATTTTGTTCTTCCCTTCCTTTTTTAAATTATTGTGTTTGCAGTTTTGAACTGTAATCAGTTATAAGCATTGATGATGGTGGCTAACAGTGGGAGACAAGACGTGCGTTTCATCCTATTTGGGACTTGTCAGCTGGATGTATGTGCATCCCAGTTATTATTATACTCCAACAATTTTTCATTATTATTATTATTATTATCATCACTTTTGTGTTCATTTCTCTTCATATCTGTAAAGACGACAATTGTCTTTCCTAATTCTGACCTGTAAATTATTCTCGTCCCTCCATTCTTCTCTAACCCCCTGATTATTACGCACTCTCGTTTGATATTTGGAGTGTCGAATCACTCCATGATGAGAACACCATATGGCTCGGAGAATAAAACTCCACCAGAATGATCTACCTGAGCTACAAATCGTCTCCACATTCTCAAATCCTTTTTATCCTACAGACATATAATTACGATACAACTATAAATGTGAATATTTAACTTAAGTAAGTGATTCGTGAAAAAGAAAACACCTTTCGGGGAATCCTCTTTACGTTTATGCAATGACAAGGAGTTGTTTCAAGAAATCACATATTTAATAGTCGGTAGGCTATGCTTGTTTGTCCACACTCAACAACCAATCATACTTCAATTCGAATATTTCATATAATTAAATTATTGTGTGGTTCGTATTTGGTTCTCAATCGTTTGTCTCTTATTGAGTATCTGAGGCCCTTGATGCAGTACTGTGATCCATCCTCCTGGCATGGTCTATTATCAATTTGTCACATTCAACTGGCTAATTGTTGTATAACTTGGTATTAAATATAGGATCGAAGAAAATCACTCGTTTGTGTTAGATCATTATGTACAATTATCCCATGGATCACTTAAATCTAGAAATCCAAAATGTGTATTTCTCAATATTACCAGTTATTCTTTTCTTCAGCTAATATGATTATGTTAACGGTTTTAGACTAGTTGATGATGATTTCATTTGCAATCAGAAAATTAATTCAATCCCTTTAAATGCTTCAACTAAATTTTGAGTGAGTTAAATTGAATAACATTATTTTCAAAATATGTCTTGAAACACAGAAACTTACTATGAACTGAACTGATTTAGATACTGGGTTTAAAGGAGTTTTCAATGTTACATTATCTATGTTCCCTGTTTGATTAACCACAATGATTGATTTTATTTCTGGACTGAGATAGAAAATTATCGATTGTCTTTCACATTCCAATCCGGTACCATTCATCATTTGAACGGTTGTCTGAAGATACACCACATCTCTGAGTATTGGATTAAACAAAATGTATAATATGTAGAGAGTTATTTCAAATCAATCAGTAAAACAGTTCAAATTCTGATGATTCAATTCAAATGGTGGTTGGATTCGACATTCGGTTTTACACGCCTTCCAATCTAGTTTGATAGGATTAACTGATTACAATCAGCAGAGAAATAGCAAGAATATTTATAACTTCGCATCTACTTAGATTCCAGTATTTAAATATTTTAAGTACAGCGTAGACGTGTATAGCTCGAAAAGTGTGAAATTATTAGAATTTCGCACAATAATACGATTTTTTATTGCTAACCTAATCATATAATGTCGAGTATTGTCAGAGATCCTGTAAAAACTATAATGAATTATTTTTCTTGAATTCGAAGAGAATTATTTTTGCTGTTGATGTAAACGAGTGAGTAGTTCCATCAGTTAAATGTTCCCAGCTGATTATTTATTGTGTATCATAGAAAACATGATAATATTAGGTCAGTTTGTTGAAATTGAATGAAATCCAGTAACTGTTGGAGGTATCATGGAGAACAATGTCAAATTTCTGTCTTCTTCATTGCTCCATTCTTTTCACTTTTCAGTGAACTTGAGTTCAGTTGGTTCGAGGTAAGTGGTAATGAATAAAAAGCAATAATGATTTCATGAGAGTTTTGAGAAACAACTATATCACCTTCCATGCTTAAATATTGTCTTTGACGGATGGATTAATTTAATAAAAGTCAAAATTTTTTGTGCTGAGATAAGTGGACGATAATTCAGGTACGATTTTCACCGGCTTTCGGACACTTTTGAGAGCAAAACTGATTTAAGCTTAATAGTTATGATTTACTTTATAGTCTGAGGATGAAAAAAAATACTTAGTCATGTTCCTGTTCACAAGACTGGCCACAAGGTTTTTAGAAAAATAGAAGCATTGACTAAAATCATTGTATAGTTATTTGTCAGTAATTCCTCAAAACACGTTTAATAAACACAGAGACTTATCTGAAATAAAATGCTATAATTTACAGGTCAGTTAAGTAATTACCCATTTTTATTACTCATTTTTGATAAATGAAAAGATAGACACTTCTTTGGAAACTGATTTGTCCAGAGTCAGCTAATGGGATTATATCGTTTCTTTCCTACATGGGTTATTTGAGTCCAGCACAAGTTTATATTTCTGATTTTGTGTCCGAGACTTGTTGTGGATAAACAGTATACACAGTGATGATGATTGACTTATATATTTGAAATTTATAACTCAGATGAGTAATCTGTACTGCATCCCAACAGCCACATCTGTTTAAGACACCAATTGTATGCTTAAACAGTGTTTTATATGATGGATGCTTAAACGAGTTGTGTGTCTGGTTTTAAGGTGTTATGAGAAAGGTTTCCAAGGAAATTTATCACCGAGAATATTAACACAACGAGGTTTGAAACCAATTTAAGAAAGAAATAAAACTTATTCATTCGGTCACTTGAATTTGGGCATGATATTTGTATTGCTTGGTGGATAACAGAAAGATCTCCAAACTCTTTGTTCAAGACCAAAGTTTGTACTCTTCATGTGAGTAGTCATCAGCGTAATCGTTGATATGGAACATTATTATGGACATTTGGACACTATCTGAACAATACATTGACTGTTTTATATAAAATTGATATTCAAGTGAAAAATGAATTCGCGTTAGAAGTGAACCAACTATTCCATGAAATAAATATATACTAAAGGTTAGAACGACTTAAACATACCTATCAGGATAATCACTGAATGTGAACGATGACAGTTGAGATAGTACAACCTGAATTGATGGTTTTTCTGACCCTGTTCTTACACAATATACAGATATTTTGCTAATATTAGTGACAGCACTGAATCGACCAGTGATTTGCAACGGCCAAACAGTTCCGTTTTCCACAATTTTACTATCACTCAACTGGATATCCACTGAAAGACTGAGAGTGTTTCGCATTAAGGGTACACTTACCGTACCTAAAATAGGTGATAATTTTCATTAGATAGTGCATTGAAGAAGACGCTGAACATTTTATTCACTCTGAATTAACAGCTAGTGTTTTAAATATCAGGACTAAATTGGTTAGGAGCTAACCAAGAACAATAAAATTCAAAACGGTACTCTCAAATAATCAACCAAGTAGTAAGTTACAATACATTGGATAGTGGTGACAAACAACAAATCAGTTTATTTTATTCCACTTCACATAATGGCAATGATTTTGCTTGCGTTTTCATGAGATATCTTGGTTACTGTTTGTTAATAACCTTCATTGTGGAACATTTTCATTGTTTACACACAGAAAGAATTTATCTCGCTGTCTTCGTTACTGTTATGTAAAGCTGAGATGACTTTTTTATATAAAGTTTCCTCAAGGTTTGGGCCATATCCACGAATGTTTAACAACATTCTTCAGATTGGAGAGAAATTAAAGGACAGTATTCAGTTTACTGCTTATCTGGTGTTTATTAGTTAAAACATGTATAAAGCGAGGTGTTTTTGACTGTGAGGTAGGCTATTGAAAATTACAGGATGAAATGAAGATCAAAATTTCAAGGAAAACAGTAAGCTAGTGTTAGTGTTTTTCTGTCAAGTTTTATTCCAAAATACTTCAACTTATTTCATTGTTTTTAATCATGTGTTTCAGTAATAGTTTTAGAGATATTTTCTTGCCTAACTTTGATCTTGTACACTGGTGTGGTGTATGCCACTTATGTCTGTTGACATAATTAATGTGTAACACCAGTCAGAAGTGGAATGGCTGACAGCCGAAAGTTGAGAAGATCGAATTGAAGAGAATGGGAATGTAGAGTTAGATCGTAACAGCAATGAAAGAACGATGGAGTTCGTTCACTACACTAGTAATATTCTATTCGACTTAGATTTTAGACTTTCGTTGTAAGGATAATTCAGTCTTGAAGTGTTAAGGAAAATATCATACACCTATTCACATATGTCATCTAAAGTGATATTGTGGTAAAATATTTTAACTGCAAAAGAAATTGCATAACACTATCCGTTAAGAATAAACATATTTTGCTCAAATTGACAAGTGTGATACTCAAGATATCTCACGAATTAAGAAATATATCCATGATATTGAATTTTATTAGTGTAAGTAATGACAGTTACCCAAGAAATAGGCCTATATGAACTGACAAACCGTAGTTTTTCATTAAACTCACCAATGTTTGTGATATTTTCGAAGTATATTAACAACTGATCATTTTGATCGGTTGGATAAGTTGACAAATAATTAGATGAGTAAGCAGTTGTTGTGTAAAATAAGTTAGAACCCAAACTTATTCTAAAATCTGCAATAGTTATTATAGATTCATTAGTGTTGTTGCTTCCAGTTCCACTGATTTGTATTGTAGATTTCAGATAGGTGGAGTTCAGTGGGAATATATATTTCACATTGACAGTTGTTATTTGACCTGGCTGCAGCGTTACACTAGATGGACTTACTTCAATCATAATCTGAAAAGAAATATTGTAAGCTTTAGTCTAACAGAACTGGTTGACTGTTATTTAAGGTACAAATTTTGCCTGCAGTAAAAAGACAATTTCAAAATGGTGACTCTTTGTCTAATGTTTTCTACAGAAGCTTTAATGAAACACTGTGTTCAACTACACCTCGGTTGAAATATAGTAGTGCAACTACGAAACTGGCATATTGAGATAAATGATCTCAAGAATGTATAGAGCCTAAATAAATATAATTCATGTACGTATTCAGAGGTGGATATCTATACCCGGATAGAGACAAGCTTGGAATCAAGGTTTTCAGTGCATAATCCACTGATCACAGATTTCCGACCGTTGCATCTGATATGAGATCCAGACTTGAAGTATTATGTGATTTTTCTGGTTTGTTCAATGTCTCAACCTAGGTTTATGCATAGACATTTAATTTCAAATAATATCAATGTATTTAAGACAAATAAGTGGAAGTTACAATCCGAGTCTATTTTCTGACTGTTAAAATTCATCGTTAGAATTCATGGTCTTAACCTTCAACCAATTAATGTAGTTTAGAAGCATGTTTAATCATTCTCAGTGACAGTTTATAGACAAATGTTATAGTAATTCATCAGTTTTGTGCTGAAAAGTATACTTTGATTACTTCGCTTATATATTGGGTGATCGAGAAGTAATATATGCTTTCTCTACTCAGTTGATATAATTTTGCCAGTTATTATGAGCTTCATTCCTATTTCGCTGTTTAACATGATATACAGTGATTGTTCTATACTTCATGGTCTGTGTTGTCCTGAAATAGTTTAATCAATTTCTGTTAATATGGAACTACCATTCACAAGTTTTGTTTAATGGATGATCTTACAAATCGTGTACATCTGTTTGTTATGTAGCATAAATTCCATCTTACATGATCGTAAAATATCACTCGAAACTTCATTATATCACATAGTTTGGTGAAATTGATTGTTTGAGACGTGTATTCTTTGAAAAATTAGTCTAATGCACACTGAAATACAAGTGACTTGTCATTTTGATTAATTGGAATAACCTAAATCAATATTGCAACAGACACATTGTCTCTGTTCATTTCGAATATGAACAACAAACAGAAAACTGAACACCATTGTTTTCAATTGGTTCGTTATCAGACTTAGCTCTAATATGCAGTTCTATTTGCATCAAAGTTAATTCTGATGAAAATCTAATGGTAAACAACATTGTGCGGTTCTATTTTTGTCTTTCTAATTTACATTATGAGAATTTCCAACCATTTATTTTGAAGTTGATTTGAATATCTGTCAGTTACGATCAGGATGCTCAAGCTTTATGCTTTTATCAAATATGTACCGATGGATACCTGTTTTCGATACATATTTCCTTTAAGAGATTCATTTGATTATCTATAACTTCACCATTAAATATTCTTTGTATCCGTGTGGAGAAGAAAATCATCAAAAAATAAAACTGGCAAGTGATCTTAATTCAGTCTATGACAAAGTATGTCAACGTTTTAAATGATTTTGAAATTACTGAAGATACCTAAGAGTGCACAGAGTCGACAGGATCAACAACACCATGAATATATGTTTTGCTTAAACTTTACAAACCTGCACTACCCCTCCGAATAGTTCTTCATAGGTTTGGATCACATTACGACTCTATAGCAAAATGGTTGAGAGATTGCCTGCAACTCATAGGAAAACATATTTGTATATAGTCCCTACATGACACTCCCGAATTTATTGATTACATACAAGAAGTGAATATAAATGACCAACTTATCCTTTTACTTGATGTTCAGTTAGTATTCATCAATTCCCTACTCACAAAGACTATTTGCTTCATAAATGATCATGGGATTAATATCGAACTATAAAAATCTTACTAAAAGGAATTAATATGACGATGCACTTGTGATGTACACTTTAAATTTAGCGACGTAATTTATAGACTAAAAGATAGCACAGGAATGGGATCCCCTCTTGACCGATTACTAGCAGATTGTGTCCAATCTGGAAAACATTTAACTTAAAGCAACTAATGACAACTCCCACTAATATAAAAGATGTGTGAATGATGTCTCGATTAATTGCAACAACAAACATTATCTGATTAATCATCTTCTGCAAACATTTGATTACTACCACACAGGAGTTGAAAATAAACAAAGTATTGACTTTCTTCATGTCACAGTGACAGTAAATCACGATGAAACTGTAAGAAGTTCTATCTACTAGAAACCTTCATGGAATGACCAGCAATAAAGCCTTCACACCTGGATCCACATCAATCGAAAGCAATATTGAACCACATAGTTTGCTACACAGAAATTAAGAATTTGTTGTCTCGAGTTCATAGATAACGAAATGAACCCTCTAAAGAGAATAACTGTAGAAAACGGATCTCCATCGGTATTTATTGAAACGAATATATAGCTACAGACATCCTGAAGAAGGTAATTCCCTACACTCTCAGTAGAATATTTATCGCAATAACTTTGTGACTAGTGTTCTCTAACCGACCAATGTTCAGTAACAATCTCAAAGATAAATTATCACATTCGACTAGTTCCATTCCTGTCTATCAACTCATGTGGAGCCAGATATTTTGGTCGTCCGATGAGTATTTCATCCAAAAGAATTCAAGAACTGTCTGAAAAGAGGCAAGAATGGCTTAGTAAGAAGCTCAACAATTGAACACCTTGTGAACACAGGTCATTCAATGCAAATTGACTCTGCCTTCAAAGTTATTTGCAAGGTAATTGGAAAGCTGTCAGAGACAGTTGTATTGGCATTGCAGAAACATCTGCTGTGTATGTGTGTGTACCATGACCTTAATCTCTCGTAACTTTTTATTCGTTCCTTCTTTCATGATCATTTACTTTACTTCTATCTTCATTGCAGACCCTTGAATTTTTCTGTTTCTATGATCCTACTAAATACAATTCATCTCAATTTCAGCATTTTATCTTATCATGCTGAGGTTTCCCCATCAAATTATAATTTCTTTATTTATCTTCATGATGAATATTCAAGGTTTCACCAAACGTATTATTATCACTTTTCTTTAGTAAAAAACATGTTTATTTTACCTCACTGTTACCACGTTCAGCAAAATTTTATTATCTCTACTATTGTAGTTATGATCACTTTGAAAAATAAGTAAATGTTTGCGGTTGTACAGCTTTAAAAATGAATTCGCCCAAAACAGAACCCTTCTCAAAACCAATGCTTCTTATCCTATAGTTATCATTGATGAACGTGGAAAACTAAGATTCTATTTTATTGGATTATCTGTAGATTTGTCTTCACGTTATGTAATAATTTTACGTAAAACATAACTAAATCGGAACTGTGTAAAACAAATAGAAATATGAAAATGTTTGAGTAATAACAAGATGTTGAAATTATTTCTAATTCAATTATAGCTTACGTCGGTGTATATTGGGAAACTTGGTATTGGACTCAATACCAAAGTCTGGCCGGTAAAATTCTTTGTACTCCCACTGATATTAACAAATGTTGGGAAAGCGTAGTTTATTGTTGTTGTCACATTGCAATCTCCCATTAAATAAAGAGTATGTTTAAATTGCGCCTACACAATAAAGAAGAATGACATTGTTATGGTGTAAGAAAATAATGAAAAACAGAAAAATGGTTGACTATGGTGTAGTATTGATTTCTAATATCATCAACATATCACTGTTGTATTCGAAGAATTATCTTACTGCTTAAGCGTCGTATCAATAGGCCAAATGTCAGGATTAACATAAATTATGTCTTTTCCATTGATGATCAGTAGGTGAGTTACAATTTCATGAATTCCGTCAATGAATAAATAAATCCATTTTCCAGAAAATTGGCAGGAATTTAATGTGGATATTAAAACGTGAAATAATCGATCATAAATACATACGTCAGGTCAACAATTTGAATTTGAAATCTAGAAGTGACCTAAACTAACAGTGTGTCACTATCACTCAGTGTTTTCGCTAGCATAAAAGTCATGTATGTTTTTATTTGTAAGTAACCTTATTACTTGACACTTTCACTACAAAGATACTTTATTTATATCTTGTCTACTTCTAGGAAATGCCAATAATTACGTTATGAATTTCGTCAGAAAACCTTAAAATATTCCAATGACGTGTATCTCACCAAGATAAAGACGAATGACTCGATCATTATATATAACAGCTATAGTTGTCAGCAAAATAACGAATACACTAGGATTCAAAGAATGACTGGTGTTTACCATATCATCTCAGAATGTAATCATAATCAAATACCTGTAAAATAACTGAGCTCATTCTGATGTTTACTATATTCGTCTTCAGATTGGCAGTCGGATGCCTACCATGGTCTTCGAACGGCCTAACGAATCATCAGTAGTGAAAATAATACTGACAATAATGGAGTGCTCAATACTAATTAACACTTTACCTTCTGGTGTTCAACCGAAAGTTGATTCTGAATAACTCTTGGACAGACATTTAGATTTGAGGGTAGTGAGAAATCCTCACTATCAAAGCTACTAAGGATATTTAGATAATCATGTTGAAAGTGAAACCAAGTCCGTGTTAATTTTGATTGGATTCGAAATGTAAACTTTGATTTGTATATCTGTTCCTAACTACACTTAAATTAGTTACTAATTTTTTTCTGTTGTTTGTGACAAAATTTTGTGTAACTATGTTCCATGAAGTTTCTAAGTTTTTGATCGATACTACTTAATGCATTCCATTAGATTACCATTAACAACTCGAAAATTGGTTTTAATGCATTTTACTGTAATTGTATAAGGGATCAAGCATGTTTATTTTCAATTTTTATGTAAGAACACAATCCCGACACAGTTTTATCTGAACACAGTGTACAACAGAACACTTACTTTTGAGTAGACTTACGCAATAAAGATATTGATTGATGAGGCATAATGGGCCGTAATCCACTCTCACATAACTGGAAAAAAAATCATTAATTTTATGGTTTATTTGTACATATTAGAGGAGTAATGGGATGCGTTAACAATTGAATCGGTAGGCACAAAAGTCATGCTAATGATGGACAGAAATTTATTTTTTGGTATGGCGTCAACGAAACAACGATACAGTCGATTGCAGAAAAAGTGTGAACCAAATGTTCTCTCTTATTTAAACTGTAATAATTAATAAAGACATTATCTTGAGATAGAATCACTATAAAATAATACGCCGTTTCAACTTTCTAGGCATATATTTACGTTAAAAGCATTGAAATCTTGTTTCACTTAAATCATAAACTGAACAAATTAAGACCACCATTCAAAATCTTAATTGCCATTTCTCCCCAGTATGCGACTTCTCAACAGATCGCTTTATGTGTACTGCTTCTACGTTTTCAATGATTTTAGTTAAATTCAGGAATCTCTACAACCATATACTGACATCTAAATCATGTGGTACACGTCATTTTAAAGACGTGTATATGTGGTCATAGACGAGTAAATTTCTATCACTATTTTATCACATCAACTGGTTTATCACTTTCTCAGTTATTTCATAGCAACATTCTGTTAATGTTTGAAATCGGATAACTTTTAATATTTATCTATGTACTCATGTTTAAGTAGAGTAAAAATGATCATTTTGATGTTTAGAAAATGCTAATTAGAGAGAAGTAATTCTTTTTTAACTCTCTCTTTTTCATTATGACTGTACATTGTTTTACATTTTTATCCGATCAGTTCCCTTAACAAATTTAAATGAAGCAAGAACTAAATTAAATGGATGATTTCATGAATTCATCATTGCATTTTACTGCTTCCTCTTCCTCTGTATGAATGTACTGGTTTGGTGGTCTTCAATTATTGACATAATTTGAAATGTGAAAAAACGAATTGCTCTGAGGTAAAAAATGGGTAAAATCGAACATAAGATTACTGACTCATAAGTAGTCTTAATCGGTGTATTATTAGATTGTTTTACTATTTATTGCCTTGTGAATGTAAAGTGATAAATAATTTTCAGCAAAAGTACGAATATTTAGCACATACAATTACAATGAAAATCATGTCAAACGTAAGTATTCAGCTCGAGCTGTTCAACTAAATCCATTTCTCGATTTACCAGTATAATTCTTATCTAGATCTCATAATTTCACACAATCCACTTTCGATCACTGAAAGTAAGTGTGTACATTTATGGAACGCTAGTCTAGTTACAGTAGCATATAAAACAATCAATGACCAATGTAGGATTTAAGCAGTTTAAACTAACCTACGTTCAGATGTCAAATTTAAAGAGAACGAGGTTGATAACCACACATCTGGATTAAATTGTTGTACATTTACTTTAGTAACATTTAGAGCTGCAATACCATTAAAAATTCTGTTGATCCAGTATGTATAGAATGAACAACGTCTTTCAATCGGACACATATTCAATATAAATTCAAACGGTCCTCCAGTACACATTTGTTTATATACATCAGTGGCACTTGGATAATTTAATGTCCAAGTATTTGTAAGAGTTGTAGTAAATGCCTATGTTTAAAAAATATCAATACTGAAATTACCACGTTGTATGAAAAGAGTTTTACAATTAGCAAGAAAATGTTTTACAATCCCGAATTTAAAAATTGCTTGGCAAATTCCCAGATTAATATACATTTTCCTCACTCATACAATTATGTACTAGACTTATTTAATAATATGTTTTTCATCTTAGTATCTGAAAAAGAAAAACTACATGTATATGTTTAATTTCAACACAAACATTGGATTAATGTATTCATAGATGTATATTCAAACGTGAATGTCCAATTACTTACAACATCATACACCGATCGATGTTAGGTCACAATTGTAAGCCTGTGAGCACTGTACAGCCGTTTCGTTATAGTATAGGGCTCCCCAGCAGTGCCTATCCATGATCCTGCACGCGCGATTAATGTATAACTTCAACCAATACACGATATTGTGCGACCATCTTCAATTGTATTCGTGAGTAACTGTCTCACACCCGAGACGGTTAGAAATCGACATTGTTGCTGCTCTGTGATTTGGAGGATGAGCGTTGTCACGCCAGACAGAAAGCACTATATTCGAGTCCTGCGTGCGAGATCATGCTTACGCACTGCTGAGGAGTCGAGTACTAGGATGAAGTGGCCTTCCAGTGCCTACATGTTTTTAATTGTGGTCTAACATCGATCGGTTAATAACCTCGATAAAAACTCAACAATCTCCACAACCTTATACTGATAATTACAATTAGTTAGGAAATAGTGTCATGTTTTTTAGTAAATAAATCCTAATTAAAACCATCTTTCAAACCAATGAAAATTATATGAAATTTTGGTTACAATCTCATTAATGAACTTAAGTTAATATGTCATTTTTCAATGTCATTTTTTGTCAAGTATATCCTCTAAAACCTGGAAATTGTTTTCATATCTTTCTTCAGATGAAAAAATTCAATGTCATTTTTTCTTAAACCACTAACATCATCTGCATGAATGGAATATAAGAGGAGATATAAAGTGTTTTTTTAACGAATGTCATTAGGTGTCAAGTATACTTTAATAGTGGTTTCAAATGTATTACCAATTAATTGTTTGCGATAACATTTTACTTTCATGAACATATACTTTACAACTATGAAATGCCTAATCCCTGTGACCCCAGTATTGTGTTGTAGTAATTTATGTTAGGAACTTGCTAAATATAATAGAACACTTCAATTTGATACAAAACTGTTATTTAAAATTACGGACTAGTAAGAAGATTGAAAGATACGTTTATTTCACTTCATTAAAAATCTTGAAGGTACATGACATGAGTAAACTTCTGTTTCCTAAAGTGATACTTACTAATATTCTGATACACTGAATTATTTATCTTATTGTAGAAAATTCAGATAACTAGGTAGAATTTATTTGTCTCGATTATCAGTCAAAGTCCATTTAACTCACTGTATAGAATGTTATAGTTAATAAAATCATGGTTTTCAAGCCATGACTTTCAGGAGAACTCAAAACTATGTTGCATCAGTGTTTCATATGAATGATTCGTTTAAACTTCGATTTCATTCATCATACAAAGACGGTCAATCTCATAGAGTAACCCTGGGCAGTAACTATAATGGTCGGCAATCAAACCTTGACAACGAAACGTTTTAGCAATATTTCCTTTGACGAACAAGTTTATCATAGCAACATAGCCTATTTGTCTCTGTTTCACAAAAGTAATGGACTGATTTTATGAAATAATAACTTTTATGATACAATATTCTCTTTTTCTCGTTTTTCTTATAACTGGTATAATCCACATGTTTTCAATCAAGACTTTAATTAGGCTTTAGACATCCAATATTAACCGCTATTTCACAGTCTCATAAGAGACTAATAATAGAAACAGCATTAAGCTGTCAAGATTACTCACCCATCCCAAACATGAGTAAAGCTTTATTAATTTATGATCACTGAATGGAGAAACTGTAGACGATTATTTTAATGGATGACTGGAACTGAGAAACAACAAGTGTTTAGTACTAACTTAAATGTACAGAAGTTCTGTTGTTTCATTGATTAGTAAGTCCAAGATTTTACGGAAAATAGTGATGACTCTAGAATACTAGATGACATTTACGAACCATTTCTTAAGCCAATGTCTTAACACTGTGACAGTGATTGAATTTTCATCACTATAACAGGAATAAAAACCTAAGATAGTTCTTCAAAGGAAACCCTAGTGGTAGAGCGACATACGACTGGAGTGGATTATTGTTCATGTGAAGGTCGATATATGTTAAACTACTGAGTAACTCTTCCTGTTACAAACTAGTCCATTGGTTAGGAAGCTATCTGAAACCACTTGATTAAGGACCGATCGCGTACAGTTTGGAGGACAATCTCAGGTTTCCGGAAGTAACAAATTAAGTTAATATGTAAGACGTTTCACACTTCTGACCTATCGTTACAACTTATTAACGTTACTTCATTTAGCATTGTTCGCTTGAATCTTGCCATTGATGTTTCGTACTGCAATTGATCAGTCTCTTGTTGACATATATGCGTCCTGTACGGATTGTCTCGATATCGCCTTAACTCACAAGCATTATGAGCAAAAATGTGTGGTGGTTGGCAGTGGAATTCAGGACGTGTGTTTAGCACTCGTCAGCTGGATGTAACTGTGTTATGCCCCGATAAGAATAATCAGTGGTAATTTTTGGGATCCATTTGTGGACCAATACTATACCTATATTTTACCGTATAATTGTTAATCAAATAAACAATTCTATCGATTAAATGTTAAATATTTCTATGACAGTCGACTGACTAAATCATCGATTAAATGTTCAAAAATACTTCCATGGTAATATCGATTATATACATATAATTGATATATAAACGTTTGTATTGTGTTTGTGGATCGCTATGTAATCGTTTGTTTCTGGCTGTTTTCAGAATATACTTTCCCATTCCAAGCTTGTACTTCTCCCTCTAGTTAGCGGGGCAGGGACGCATCAAATAGCTAGTTTACTGGTCTTTGGTCACTGAGTCTTTGTTCTCGTCCGCAGATTAAGTGAACCCGTAACAGCACCAACCCTAGCAAACTGCATCCCAGATTGGATGCAGATACATTGAACTGACGCGTGCCAAACAGAACTAAAAGCGCGTCCTGGATTCTAATGCTAGCCACCATCCATCTTTGCTTATTAAAGTTGCTATTAAATATTCAACATAATTATATTCTAGGCACGATTCACAGAGTTGTTATGGCTATGACTTAAAAACATACATTTTTAGTTCAGCAATAAGACAAACTGTCTAGAACCTGTATATTTATAAGTTAACATTCGAGATGAGTTATTACTCAAGTCTTCCTTGTGAAACTAAGGAGAACAAAATTACGGCATTGTACGCATGATGTGATGTGATGTGATGATGATGATAATTTCATGTTTCATTGCGAGATAAAATCATAGAAATATTCTACTGAAATGTTATAGTAGGGCTCAATTTAATATGGAAGCGACAACTGAGAATGTAAAAAATGATTTAGCGAAATATTGGCGTATTCTGCTCAAATTACTGATAAACCTGTTAAGCTTGTCACAATGTTGTCATGGAAAATAATGATTGTCGTCTGACGGATGGTTTATGTTTAATTCTCATATATGTTATTACCTTGAACTAATTAGACTCAATAACTTGCATTTAGCTGAGGTGAAAAGCGAAATACAATTCATATTATATTCTGCCAGTTATAAATTGAACCGAACGAACAGCAGAAAAACTTAATAACTATTTGAGAAGATCCTCTATTGTGAATAACGATTTTATGCCAGAATTCGGTACTAATTGTGTTTGACGAACTATCAGCATCTACTTACAACCACAGATAAGTGGTATCCTCAAACCTGTCTTTTCTTAAAAGACCTAAATATAACTACAATATGCATCAACAATATGGATAAAAGTTTTATCGAGTCTACGTAATCTAAACATCAGGGTCTTGCTTGAAAATAACACTTTAACCATTAGTATTGTATACGGATTCCATTAAATAATGTAAATAAGTCAAGTAAAAAAGTTATCTTAATGTAATTTCAAGCAATTTGAATGAAAATGAGTACTCTGACTTACTGCTGGAGTGGTGGTAGTAAATATGAAATTACCAAATATAGAGATTGAATTGACTGTCAGATTGTAAGTGAAATTGACCAGTGGTCTGACAGAATTTGCAGTGAACATTGGGATATAGTAAGTCAACTGATTTGCTGCCGAAGTCGTTTGGTCGGTTGCAATTCCTATAAACGCAAAATACAAATTGACAGTCTAATTTCCTAATGAGGCGAATTTGAATGCTTGAATTTTGACAACTATCAATTTATTACATCTTTGTGCATCTACACAAGAAAACATAGTTCTTATTGGGATAGACAAACGACAATTTCATACGAAATGGATATTAATACACTCGACCTACTACAAACATAACGTTCTTGAGGATTTTTCGATCAGCTGAAGAAATATTTGTTTGAAGTTGTTCAGATTGTTTGATTGTAAAATCAAATATTGATATTTTAGATGATCAATTAGTAATGTTTAGGTATATTAGAATACTGTACTAGGTTGTAACATATCCACTAGGTTTCAAGAACGTTCGATAAACGAAGGAATTCCTCGTCAACTAATCTACTTTCAACTATGCACCAGCACGTATGCATGCAAAATTATCAATCTAAAAACAATTAGTACCTGAAGTGGGATTTCACATTTAGATTTTAAAGTGGGTATACAGTAAGGATATGCAGAATTTATCAAAACATATATGGAAGTAAAGTATCATGATTGCCAGAACAGACTATAATAATAAGTAAAATAACATGAGGAAATAAAAAAGTTTGTGCAAACATTATGTAAAAAAATAACATTGAGTCGAAAATAAAGAAGATGGATATCATCTACCAAGTTAGCTGGACGATCTCAAACAAGTACTTAATTACTTACTTACTTACACCTGCTATCGCACATGGAGAAGTATTGGTCGCCAACCAGCATTCTCCATCCAACTCTGTCCTGGACAATCCTTCTCAACACTTTCTAATTGCTATTCATTCTTTTCATCTTCGCTTCCAAATTCCGACAACGTGTGTTATTCCGCCTTCCAGTTTTCCTCTTCCCCTCGGTATTCCAAGTAACAGCTTGCTTCGTGATGCAGTCTGATGATTTCCCCAATGACTGTACTATCCACTTCCATTGTCTTTTCATATATTCCTATCCAATTGAAAATTGGTTTGTTCGCTCCCACAGTAGACTAGTGCTGATAGTATCCGGTCAACAGATATCGAGTATATTACGTAGATAATTGTTTATAAATTCTTTTAGTAGTTTTCCCGGTTTCAGCTCCGTACGACCAAACATACTGTCTTGACCTTCGCATTGAAGATTGTGTCTTTGATATTGGTTGATAGATGTTTCGAGTTCTACATGTTCTTCAATTGTAGGAATGATATACATGCATTACCAATCCTCACCTTTACGTCTGCATCCGATCCTTTATGTTCATCGATGATGCTTCCCAGGTACATGAGAGAGTAAGCAGCCTTGTCTTACTCCGTTCCTCAGTTGTGACGTATCTGTCAGCTATCATACGTGCACCACTTTGCACTATAATCCATCTACTGGTTTCCGCATGATATTGACTTGTCAAGTACACCGTAGTGTCGGGGAATTTTACATAGTCCTCTTATCTACAATGTCGACTACTTTGTCAAGGGTGTAGATATACAGTGACGAGTTCTATTCAATTGATTGCTCAACGACGATCCGTAACGTCGCGATTCGGTTTGTGCACGACCGATCCTTACGAAATCCAGTCTGTGGATCTCGAAGTTGAACGTCTACTGAATACTTCATCTGGTCGAGCAACACTCTGTTAAATACTTTTGCTGGTACTGACAGTAGTGTGATTTCTCTGCAGTTCTCACATTTGCTCAGATCTACTTACTTTGGTATCTTGATGAGTTTTTCTTCTTTCCAGTAGGTCAGTGGCACTTGTTCCTCCTCCAAAATTTTCCTGAATAGAATGTGGCTCATGTTTGCAGTAACTTCTATGTCTATAGGAAGGTTTGTGTGTGCTTTTTCAATGTCCGTTGGATTCAGTAGGGCTGGCCTATTCAAAAGTTTCTCAAAGTGTTCTATTCACCTGTTCCTCTGTTCCTGAATCTCGTTGATTGTCCTGCTACTCTTAAAACTGTTCTTTATCGTGCTCGTTGCTATCATTGGTGAGTGTATAACACTGGATAATATTCATTGTGTCTTCCTCCTTCTTGTCTTGAAGGATGATTCGATGATTCTGAATCCATGAGATTCTGTGATAATTAAAATTATTTGAATTATAGTATGAACTAATAATCCCAGAAATAACGTAATCGGATCAAGAAGTACAGATAAGCACAAACGAATGTACTGTATTTAGAATTCGAAATTAAGCGTTCAATAAGTACCAAGGAATCATTGGTTCATTCAAACACCACAGACTCCCATTCTGTAAGTAGATTTCATGCTTCACTGGACAGCAACAATGCAACTCCTTGAGTGTGAAGAGAATTTCCCTCTTCATGATCAGAGTTTAGCAGCATCTCATCCGTATCTATCTTTTTCTGTGCGGATTGAATGCAATGGGCTTCACTGATTTCGAGCACCGTTAAGTTGTATTTCTCCATTTCCACAGCTATTTGAATAGTCTTCTCGGTCTGCCACATTGTCAGGACGTTCCGTTTACCTATAAAAATTGTTGCTGTGGTTGTTAGAATGAGTATCGGTCTCATGACTTTCGAAGAATCTCGGCCTTCACCACTAGGCTTCATAGTTCTTCTGAATGAAGATACTTCAACTCGGAGAGCAGAGTTATATTGCTTTAATTTGTCTATTCTGATTAGCGTTTGTTTTCACAAGGTTGTTTTCTACGGGATTAGGTTGCCGACAATGATTAGTCAATACAGTTATTGTTACAAATAAAACAGAAGTGGTATGAAGTTTCTCAAGAACGTTCACTTTAATTACTGACTAGAACTGAATCTATTATATCAGTCTTATGACTGATCATCATTATTTCAAATAAACTATTGCTATATTAAACCAGATAATAAATCTTTTAAGATTACTTAAAGTAGGCTAGTATAATTACTTTTCAGTTGGGATAATCCAAACTAATCTCGATATAGGAATGTCAGTGGGAATATCAATTAATTCTTTCTGGATAAATTTCAAACTAGTAGAGCATTGTAAATTGCAGGCTTAATACTACCGTGTTCAAAAATTCACAGTTTGATTAGGAGACTCTGACAAAATTATTTTCTGAGTTCCATAGATATTGATGGTTTTTGGGAAGTAGATGAATTTCGTTCTCTTTGGAACAATAAATTTAAGGAATGGTAGACTTGATCGCAGACACTAATTACAATTAAGAATACGGTCAAATGATTAACAATGGAGATGTTTTTTCACAGAAATATCTATATAAGTGTTTCAAAGAAAAGAGTAGACACAGGAAATTATCTTGATTTACTGGCAAACCGTCACTAATTTCTTGGAATTCTTGAACTGAGTTGAAATCGATTTACTTTCACTGGATTATTTAACGGAGGGAAGCACGTTCTGCAAATTAAATATTTGAGTGTCTTGATAAGTGTAGTTGATCGCTTTATTATCAATCAAAAATTAAAATTTTATGGGGAAATGATTCAATGCATATGGTTTAAATGAAACGGTGAGCTGAATAGATTACCACTCAAGGAAACAATCTACATCGATTGTTTTGATGAAATCATAACAAAAATCAGGGGGATTTATATGAAAGTGCAACCACGTAGATAAGAGTGTGCATATGTAGTAAGAACAGAAAAAGCATACATTATTGAATAAGTAATAAAACCTTATTAACTGACGAGAAATTAGCTTGAAGACTGCTGTGACATTATTCGATGGCCTTATTAAATACAGAGAAAAGGATTCATCTATAAACCCGTTCGCTATTGAGAGATAGCGTATTAGTAATCATATCAATACCGACTACTATAAGTAAAACAGTGCAGTACATGTTAACAAACCTTCGTAATAAGCTTTATCTATACTGATATAAACCATATTTTCCAAAGAGTCCGAAAGTGAGCTGACATATGGCAATGATGTTGATTGGCTTAGCATTATTGGCTTGACTAATATGTATTCTTGGTAGGCACCTGGAGCATAAAGTTGAAAATATATCGACTGCCATACATTGGGTTTCAGAGTTAGCGTTAACTTCAGTGATGTTAAATAGTTCGGTATCACTAGATTTTTGACTGTTTTTGAATCAATAGAAATTAGATCAACCCCTGGAGCCTGACTTGATGACTTAAAAAATTAATAAATGAAAATTCCTCTTATACTCTGTAAAAGTTTAAATAAAATGTGTTATGAACTAAACACTTACAACTTACCCCTATAATCACGAATTAATAAACTCGACAAAAAAATTACAATGTTCTTCAGTGATTTCATTCAAGATGAATTTTAGAATTTCCTGATGGATCCATTAACCTGTCATGTAAGTCAGTCAGGGAGTCAGGTTTGCTGTTCAAATCGAAAGTAAATCCTCATAGGATTAATATACGACGTGATTTATGGAAGAATATTATAAATTAATGAATTTTCACTAATAATTTAGTAACATAGTGTGTATCATAAATGCTAGGTATCCAGTATTCAATATTACTCTGCTTCTGCTGGTTACTAAATCATCATACAAAAAAGTCGTCTTCAAATTTATCAAATTTTACAACACAACGAAGTGAACAACCTGTTGTACATCACTTCAACCTGTGTATGTATGTCACGTTGCAAAAATCATACTTGTTCTAACCAGTTATCAATATTTGTGTAAACCTAAATCACAGCCAGTAGTTTATGGTAGGGTTAACAAACTGAAGTAAAGTATAAAGTAAAATTCAATGTAAAAAATATTGTTTCAAGTCATACCAACACAGTAGAGTAGTTATCTCGTGGAGAAATAGTTAATGTTTTCGTAAAACTGGATACACCAGAGGTAAAGTTTGTTGTAATTATCAAAGGGTTTGTGGTGATTGGAATAATCGAATAACGCATTGCAATATCACACTGAGCATCTGTACATGATTCATTGAAATACACTGAATTTATTTGCAATGTAGCCAAATTACTTTGGTAATCGAGAAAAGGAAAGTGAAAGAAAAGGAAGAAAGATTTGTTGATATTTGTTACAATTAGAGAAATACTGTAGTGCAACTTCTGATTTAAAATTCATAGAAGGGATCATTACCGATGAAGACCAACTTCAAACTAAGATATGAATAAATTAATGATTTCAAATTATCATAGTTAGTTACTATAAAACAAAATTAATGAGAGGCGTTAAGTGTAATCAATGAAACTTCCAATGATGTGAATTTCTTTCTTGTTAATTGATTTAAAAATAGTTCAGTATGAAATCATTTTTATAAAGGTTGTTGGGGCTGAGTTGTTGTTTTACTGAAATATTTTGATAATCACAGTTAGTTAGTGAGTAGAAAGTGCATAATTTCACCACATTCATGAGTGTTTTGCCAAAAGTGTGAACAACAAATATAGAAGTAGTTGTTGAAGCTGGTTAGGTTAAATTTTCATTTTATTCATGGTTCATCGAAATGATAGTAATAATAGGATTATAAGTATAGATGAATAGTGGCTAGCAGTGGAATCCAAGACGTGCGTTTCGTCCAATTTGGGACTCGTCAGCCGGATGTACCTGCATCTTAGATGTGATGTTCACTCTAGAAATCGAACCCAATACCGTTCGCTTCAAACGCCATCGTGTTATCCACTTAGCTACTGAGTCCTCAATAGAACGAAACGCGCGTTCTGGATACCACTGCTAGCCACTATCCATCTTTGCTTATTATGCTTATGAATTATGGCAATAGCAAGACAATACGCACAGTGTGAACATATGTCATTAAGAGACTGATCAACTACAATCCCACACATCAATGGGAAGTTTCAAGGAAACAATACCAAGTGAATAATAGGATGTTTTAATAAAAATCATATAGTATGTGCCAAGTTCACTTTGTCTTTACTCAATTAACTTTTGAGAAACATTTGGTATACAATCGGCTACGCATATTGTTAAGGATTGTGATAAGGCACATTTTGTAATCCCTACACGTGTTGAATTCTTAACGGAAGTATGGATTAACAAAAGGATAATAATGTACAATTTCTATATACTGAGACTTAAAGTATCTTCTCAAATATCTAAATCTTGTCTATCGGAAAAAAATGTAGAAATCAAGTTTCAACTTCAATATAATCTAACATTCAGTGGATATTTCTGAAATGATAACTCATTAAAATATAATGCATTTCTTTGCACAGAAATCTACTGATATGTGAAATGTAATTTGGAAAACTGATAAATCAAACTGACATAGAGTTCAGGATAATACATTCAGATTTATTGACGAATTATGCAAGACAGTCTTCGAGAATAATCTCCAAAAGTTGAAAGTTTGATAGATATTGTGTATTTCAACAAGGAATTCTGGTTTGAAAATAGTAAATTACAAGTATTCGTAGTTAGTTTAGCTCACGTTTGATGTCGCGGAATTGATCCATATCCATATACTTGATTTTTGTAACATTATACATGAGTATATATATATATGTAATGAATTAAGTATTCGTATTTACATATACATAAGAATACGGTTGATAATCAAGCTTACGGTTTAACAGAAAAATCATAGCCCACAAGTGCTACAGCTTTTAATAGATATCCAATTGTTTGAATACTCTGTCTGATTATAATTGCTTCATTTGAATTTACTTGTAGTTGAAAAGTTATCGGCATGTAGACAAAGTCTTCAATGAATTTCACTCGAACTTCTACAATTGTACTAAAGTTTACTGTTGGTTGTGAATTTCGTGGTTCGACTTTTTCAATAGTAACTACAGGAGTTTTAGAGACCTAATTTCAAATAGTGTTTGCAAATGATAACAAAAAATAATTGATTGAATGCAAAATTGTGAGATTGATTACAATTTAAGTTTACATTTACATGTAGTTTATATTTGCGTTATAAGCATACGACTGAAATGATTTGCAAGGAATAATAAATGTTAGGCAGACAGCATGACTGGTTTATTTTTAGGTCTGATTTAAACTAAAAGTGTTTAGGTAAGTAGGACATCCAGATTTGGTTGAAAATTACCAGGAGCTAACGTGGCTTAGTACTATATTTCATGCTGCATTTATAAAGCTGTGCAATTTAAACTGCTCCATGCTAAAACATTGATATTTTTGTATTTCAATTGCTAACGTCTGTAACCACTAATTGCTACGGTATAAATCAACAATCACTAAGTCAAATATCGTAAAATAAACGGCCGTACCTTTTAGTGCTAAACAAGAGATCTTGACTAAATCTGTACCCCTTTTAATTAGGTCAAAAATTTATTTCAGTGGAGCACATTAGTTCACGCTCAGTCAATTCAGTGACAGATGGATGGTGACTCGAAATTAGACTATAATGCAAAAAATCAACCTGTATAGGGAAATGGTGGTTGATGTGATCTGGGATTCGATACCAAAATCAGTATACCTACAGAACAAAAGTGTTTCGACTTAATTTGTAGGAGTTTGGATTATCCGGCTGTAGATTTTCTGATTGAATTCTGACCAGTCATATTTGGTGCATGTGCAGCCAATGCAGATCACTTTCATATTGTTGAGACAGCTTCCGAAAACTACAACTGAGCCTCCAGAGACCATAGAGAAGCCAAAGAGTTCCATCTAATCAGAAAGTAATGGGGACTTCTAGAATATCAAATTGGCATGCTACTATTGGCCGGTGGCATAACATGTTTATTCGTGGACTGGTTGAATTATAATGTTGATATAAAAGCGCTAAATACTCATGATTTTCTGTACATTTTGATTCTTACCCATCAACCACTTTATCAAGTGTTCTTCTACTTTCTTTTTATTTGCGACTTGGAGTGATCTAGCGTTCGATTGCTCAGGTTATACGTGGTATATTAAGAACCTAAACTAGATATAACAACTGGTGACGGGGTTAACTTATCAAAATGTCATTTATCTTTGACCAAGTCGAAGCCTTGCTTGAGCGTCAAGAAAAACGTTATGAACAGTTCCAGATTCGTATTCTGGAAGCTCTAACCCAGCAAATGAGCCTACATCAAAGGGGGCTTACAGATGATCCACTCAAATCCAATGTTGACCACATTATTAATTCTATCCATGAATTTCATTTTGATGGTTTGTCTGGTGTTACATTTGAATCGTGATTCAAGAAATACAAAGATGTGTTCAGGGTCGACCTAGAAAAATTTGACGATGCCACAAAGAACAGAGTACTGCTACGCAAACTTGGTACAGCTGGACATGAACGCTACACCAACTTCATTTCCCTTAGAACCCCAGAGACTTTTCATTTGATGCAACGGTTGTAACTTTGTCGCAAATTTTCGGTGAACAGTCATCTTTGTTCAATATTCATTACCAATTTCTGAAGTTGAATAAAGCTGGAGACGATGGCCGGGTGCAACATGCTGGCATAGTAAGCGTTTCAAATTATCAGCAACGATAGAAGACCAGTTTAAGTATTTTGTTTTTGTATACAGCTTTCAGTCGCTTGAAGATGTCGACGTCAGAAACAGAATCCTGAGTAAAATTGAACAGTGTCTAAATATGGCGCTATAAGAGGTGACTAGTGAATGTCAGACGTTGATGAACCTAAAACATGATATATCTATGGTTGAAAACAGGGGTTGGCCACCATACGTACAGGTAATAAATCGTCGGAAATATTTTTTTGTACGCACACATGACAGCTCAAACAAACAACCTCCACCGTAGTTCTGGTTATACGGTGAGTGGCACTACAAGAAGATTTTCCCATATAAAAACTATCGTTATACTGAATGTCATCGTAAGTGTCATAACAAATCCAGCTGTACAAAAAAACCCACCGTCTTTCTTCGAAAACCTATTTCAAATAAATACAGATCTGGTGCGATAACTCACAAAATATTGATATCTCAGACCAAAGCACGAAGTTACCGCCGGAGAAAGTATGTAACTTTGGATATTATTAAACAACGTACTCGCCTTCGACTCGATACAGCGTCTGATGACACTCTCATCAGCCCAGAAACTTGGAGACATGTCGGGAGTCCCACAGTTCATCCTACAACACAACTAACGCACAGTGCATCTGGTGGGAAGTTGAATATTTTTGGAGAAGTACTGTGCACTTTTTCTAAAAGTAGTATGACAACGAATGTAACAGTATACCTTAAAAAGAATCCAGCACTTGACTTGTTTGGATTAGATCTGATAGGCACGACAACTAGTGAAAAATTTGATTAACAACGTCTGGAGTCGAATCAAAATGATAACCCATTAGAGTGGAAGCAGAGAAATGCTGTGCTACAAAGACACCACCACGTATTTATAGAAGGATTGGGAGAATGTACGAAAGTCAAAGCAATACTAACCCTCAAACATATTGTTTAGATGAATTAATAAATGAAAACATAAATCAAGCTTACAGGAGTAGTGGGTATGGGTTTCTCCATAGACGTTACTGGAAGCGTTACAGCAAAAGCACGTACAGTTAGTGTTCCAGAAAGCATCTCAACGTACGTTTGCATTGTATCACCCAAGACGTAGGTGGTATCATACCATAATTTCACTCCGATTTGGAAATTATAAAAAGCATTCCATGAGTTATTGTTTCTAAATATACCGATTGTCGTTGTGCTTGCTATTCTTCGCCCTTGAAATACAGTGTATTCTGTTATTAGCCTGATCTGTAATGTTAGTTAAACAACCGAATTGAAATGCGATATCAAAACATTTATTAATGTCGGATTACTCGATAGTGATGTGATAGTTCTTTGTTTATAAATATCAACGAAATCAATAGGATACCATTTAACATCACTGAGTAAGAAAAATCTATACTTTATGCCTGACTTCGAGAGAAATATTATTGCTCAACTTCCAGCAATCAAACTAGCAAGAAGTAATACACACAAAACACTCCACACATATACGACATGTATTGTAATGACAAGATATTATACACTGTTCAGTCATGTGACATATAAGTTTTCGGGTCAAATCGATTATATGTACATAACTCAATGTAACTGATCCTGTGAAGATGGATACATGACTAAGTAAAGGATGGAATAAATCTATTGAAAATCCATTACTGTTTCATATGATGAATACAGCACTCAATCAACAGAGTTCAACATCAGATAAATAGAACCAATGACTATTGCAAGGGTTTTGCTTTTGCATTTAATAAGCATAGCAGAAACAAAAACCAACAACACTCTCTTTGTTTAGTAATCTCCTCTTTAAAGTTTCCACCTCCTAGATTAAAGCAATGTTCATTCGTTGTTTTTATTAAACATTAAATGTTAGAGTATGTGCATCTAGGAATCATTGATCAAAGGGATGTCTAAATAATTTTAACTATTTAGAGTTTCCATAGATCAGTGAATACTGAATTAATAGACTGGTTGAAATTCATGTCAAACACAAGTCAAAGTATTAAAAGTAGAAAGCTTTACTGTTAAGGGCTATACAAATTTATACTAATGGTGTAACCGTAGTTTATGTTACATGCAACATGTAGTAACTGTGTATGGAAATATAATTAGACACGTATTATCAGTGGAAACTCGTCCGTTATTATAGAAAGCATAGTAAAATATGAAACTACGAATTTCTGACATGTATCTACCCGTTCTTCTTTAACTCATTGATCATTACACAACCTCCTTTATTACTTAAAATATTGGATCATTACATGAAACAATGAATTTTATTGGTAATGAAGAAGTATTCCTATTTATCAAGCAGACACAGAGATGAATGTTTCACTCCGAATTCATTGAAACTTTAATTCTAATCTCAGTAAGAAGGTAAACGAGTAAATTATGCATGAAGCTCATCATCTGATTGAACTTCTAATAACAATGCATAGAATGAAAATTATCCACTAGCCGTTATCTCATTGTAATGAAGGATCTATGATGTCTGTATGTAATTAGTGGATGTGTTATTCAGTAATTAATTAGATATTCTCCAAACATGTTTCTAGATAATAGTGATATTACAATGACGAGATAAGCTTGTTCATTCAAATGATTTTGATTTTAGCAAGATCTTAGAAACAGACTAAATTGTTTAATGACATTCATTTATGTAATTAATTCATAAAACTATTAATTAGTTAAGGATCAGCAGAAATAATGAGCAATATTTGTCTACAATGAACATTGAGAAGTGATGCCTGATAGGCGGAAACTATTAGCCAAGAAACGAAATTGTCAAGATAATTATAACTGTTATTCTGAATTAGGTTAATTATAATATGCGAGTCGACATTCAACTTTATCTGACTGTTGTAGTCGAATAATGGCAAGCCAAATAGAATTGTTATCAGGGAAAATATAAATAAAATCCAAATGTCTAATTCAATATTTATGAGGAAGTATGTTGTTATTCCACTGAATGTACTAATAAATGAGAATTTGATTACATGTGTTTTTTCATTGCAATAATAATTTTAATAATCATTATTATTACGTAGTGCAGACAGACACATTTTATTCTACACTATACGTTCCTATCAATTTCGGAAGCTTTTATGCAAACCAAACACTCCGATGAGTTACTGATCAGTTCATCAGTGGAGAAACGTGGATCTATTCCCAAATATGTTGTAAACACATATACTCTTTAAATTAAGATGTCAGAAACATTCGAGTGATAAACAACCAAGCATAGATGGGCACGTGTGGTAGCATGTATTACATGCAATCATAGAATGTGCAGATATGTTAAATCATTTCAAAATTCACATAGAGATAGAAGTTTCCGTTCCCAATTTCTCCTTACATGCACATATAGAACGCACAATCCGAGCACCATACGCTCCATAAAAAATAAGTATATATGTGTATATGCAATCACCCCAGTTCATAGCCTAGCAGTTTTTCCATTGAATGAATATCAAGTACTCAAATTAATATTTTAATTGATCGTCGGACGTTTCTTCCTCTATCCAATATACTCCAACATAAAGTATGCTGTTTATGAAAGCCTAGAACATATTACATTAGTCAATGACGCGATATGTAATATAAAACAAAATGTATTTATCGAAAATCCAAACTCTCAGTATTTAGAAAAGTGTTAAACGTTCACTCATGCACTTTCATGAGAAGAAAATATGGATTATATTCTCAAATTAATTCAGATATTGATCAGTTGAGCAAGGTCTTGTTAGATATTTTCAATGACAATGAAAACCATCAGCAGATAAGCAGTTTGTATACCAACCAAACTATGATAAAATGAATGGTAAGTTTAGTGAAATAATTTAATTTCTATTACTGATATTTACCTGAGACCACAGTAAGTAAATATTAGCGATTAGCGAGGATTTGTTGAACACAAAACAGTGCCCATTAACATCAATGAATTCGTGATAAATATTAGACCTGCATCCTATGTGGTTTAACGTCTTAAAAGTTATATGCACACTAAACGCTCGATAATGTAACTCATTATCTGAATAATAACTTCAAAATATGCATTGAGATACCACTGTTTAGCATATTGTAATATTATCGTTATTATGTAACACACTAATTGATTTCTGGTTCATATTATCGAGCTGTATATTGTAAGTACTCAGTACAACGAAAATGTCAAACAATGAATTGAAGATCGAGTGGATTATGTTTTTATTCAGTATGAAAATCTAATAACAGACATATTCGATCCAGACTTTTTCATTCAAGAAGAAATGGCAAAGCTGAGGATACTGGATTTCCAGTTGAGTAGTTATCCTTTTGGTGAAGGTGAAAGGGATTGAAATAGTCATAAGATATGTTTCGAAGTGAACGACTTGATACTAAATACGTCTCATGACTTGATGCACAATACATTGATATCAAGGAATACAGGATTTTCAAACAATCCTTTTGATGACCTCTGCATATATTGATATTTATCATATGAAAATCTCATCCAAGAATATGTTACAAAACATGATAGCTGACGGTACAAAACCAGCATTAGGCATTTTAGACCAAAGATGAAAATTGAACTTGTTTGATCATGTGTAAGCTGAAGAGAATAAATAAACAAATGTAGGTCTGCTGGGCAGTTATTTCAATCCGAAAGGTTACTGCTATTAGTGATATCTATGATTTCGGAACATCAGAACTACTGATATTTGTTTGTTTGTACTGAAGTTCGAATTTTCGGGGTTTACTCATCATATTTGATTGATTCATCTGGGTTGAGTCTTGTTGATCAATTCATATATATGTCGCGATTGGAGAAAAGGATGATGATAGAGTGCCAATTAGAAGTAAAACCATTATTTACTATTGTCATTTGTTAACAGACTATAATTGTGGATATGTATTAATGCAGTCAATTGTGACTTTGTAGCATTGGTTATGGTTCATAATTGCTGAATACAAAACTGTCTCCTGTATAATGATTTTTTGTTTTGATCTTAGCCATGTTTGGATAAGTTAAAGGACAGTGTTGTCAAGTTAATAATTGATTATCTGTAAACCAGCCGTGATAAAGTGTTTCGGAAAATGGCTGGATTTTACCGTTCACGTAATGGATCGGTTTTACTTGAACAGCCACTCAGTAGTAGAAAGCATTAGGAAGATGCTTTGCACTGGAATGGCACTTCTCAGCATGGGATATCCATGGCTTGAGTGTGAACCAACCCAGGACATTGAGTTATCATAGCGAACACTTAGCCTTTAGGTCACTGAGTTGTCATCCGACGGTTTACATGTCTAACATAATTTAAGTTATGATAGTCCAAAGGTGTCATCCGATGCCGATGTTGGGTACCTGCCTTACACTCGACATTGTTAAAGAATACTGTGTGATAATTATGTCCCTAACTAACGAATTGTTAAGTTTGTCTTACATTGTTCCTACTCGATCCCTTTCCACTCCTTTGTATATTATTTTATACTACTTATATACATTGAGTAAGCAGTTTGTCCCCAACAATTTTTACACTTATGTTGTAACGCAAGTTGTAGTGTGATATTCTGAAATGTTCACATATACTTATGATGCTTATTGTATTTATCATTGTATTTATCATTATAATCACTATACCTTAATCACTGTAGCGGTTATCCACAGCTTTGTGCATTTGTTTAAACGCAACAGTTTCCATATTGTTTTGCTCTTGGTTCGGGTTTCGATTGTTCATAAGATCTTATCAAATTTAGACACAGCTATTAGCTGTCCTTTATACTAAGGTATGTTGTAATTATTCTTCATGTTAATGGTGCAGGAAGCCTTTTTGTGTCATACTTGAAGGACGCGCTTGAACGCCCTAGACACCTCACAAGTTGAGGTTTGTAACTAAATGTTGTGTATTATTCAATAAAGAACCGCTATTGTAGACAAATTGTTGTATTGGAAACTTCGGTTTTGCGCGTATCTCAATCAGGTGACTTGGACGCTTCGATAGATCTAACAACAATCAAATCGTTGCTTAAACGCCAATCACAACAATCTGATCTGGTCTGTTCTCATTGCACTAATCGAATTGGTTTTACATTTAAAACAGATCAAGTTT